AAAAAAAAAAAACTCGTCGCTTGAACTGAACTATCGCCCGCAAACATCCAACATCAAAAGGACGTCTTTCCGAGCAGTCGTCCAAAGGTGACGGGTTACCTAGAACCTCAGACCTTTCTATGACGAGCCGTCTCAAAATCGCAGTGCACCATATTTTACCGGTGAAATTGTGGAGAACAATGGCAAAGGAAAACAAAATCGAGAGCAAACCCTCCAAAAGTGAAGACGAAGCAAGGATAATTCGCTCCCGATCTCGTCGCACATCCCAATTTCAACCCCCCGAGCGAAAGATTGTACAAAAAACACTTCAATTTCAGAAAATAGAGCATACATAAATATATACATAAGTTAAACAGTATATAAACATATTTTTAATTAGCACACAAACAGATTAGTGTACATATATATACGTAAGATAAACAGTATATAAACATAATTATTATTAGCACACAAACCGATTATTGTACATATATATACGTAAGACAAACAATATATAAACATCCCTTCATTTTTGAACTGATATTAGTTTGTTATTGCATGGTGGCTGAGCAACTTCATCACATCATTTTTATTTATGAAAGATTGGCCGACCACAACATCCCAAATCATACTTCCATCGACACCACATTCAAGTGTTCTGGAGTTGTTTATCTCCTATTTATCTTCCGTATACTTAATTGCTTCAAGCATTGTATCTGCAGCATGTTCGACAAATTCTCTATAAAATCTGTGGTTCGCCTCGCCATGGCAAGGCCGACTCGATCAGGGTAGTCGGTTTTCCTCTCTGTCACGGTCAGCTCTCAGTCGCGGTGGTGTTCGGCGTTCGCCGTCGCGCCTGGAGGTCAAAGGTCAGATCGAAGCTCGACGTCGGAGAAAGCTCCAGCCGCTGCTGCTTGTGCGGTTCACCTGCCTCGCCGCTAGTCGTCAAAATTAAGGGTTGCGGATAAGGATTAAGGCTCGCTGTCGGACGACGGTTGTCGTGAAATTGGAGCTTCGACCACGAAACTCGAGAGTTGAGGTCGTGGGTTCTGATTTTTCTGAGCGAAAATTAGGGTGGCGATTGAATGAGATGAGATGAGGCTTTATGCGATGACTATCAATATATGGAGAGAGAAGAAAATATCTGATGATTTATTACAATCTCGTAAATTTGAAAAAGAAAATCACTATTGAATTCTCTTTTGATTATGTTTCCTACTAATTGTATTTATGTTAATATTTTTAATCTAGGGGTTATATGTGTATTTTTCCCACCACAGAGACTTTAGCCCGGTATCTTGACTATCTTTATGTAAAAATTGAAGTCAATTCTATATAGTAGCAGCCCAATTCCTGTTTAACAGCCCGCCCAAGCAATTGAAAAATTAAAGTAAGACCAATAAGACAAATAAATAACTAACATCATATTTATGAATTACCATCTAATCAACTCTTGAATTATAAAAAGTTAAATGTTGTTTGAATACCTTTTTTTTTTCTTTTTCTTTTTTTTTTTCCTGACAAATCCGTTTCTTACAAATATATTTTGAAATGAATGTTCATTTTTTATTAGTATATTTGTTCGTGTTTTATACATATCTTATGAGTAAGATTAAATAATTTTTGTATAATCCACAAATAGACATTTACATTGAATGTAAAAAAAAATAAAAAAAATCAATGCTATTTATTACCTATCATTACCAAATATACACTACAAGAAAAATGTTGTAATTTCAATAGAATATTTCAACGAAAATATATTCCAATAAAATTCCAAAGACAATGTCCATGGACATTCCATTGCTACTATTTCCGTTCGATTTTTTTAGTAGATTGGAATGCACTTTTCATTGGAATTTTTGTTGGAACCGTTTCAACAGAACTATATATGTCATTGGAATACCCATTGAATATGTTACCGTATAATTTTTCGTTGGAATCAGTTTTTTATTGAACCGCTATTTTAACATAAAAATGTTTATACTTTATAGGACTAATTTAATAAATATTATTTCACGATACACATATTATTATTTATCTACATAAATTACTTTTTTAGAATTTAATTATTAATTATCTTTTTCACATATAATACATGGTAGTTGTTGTTTTTTTTTGTGTGTTTTATTTTTATTAATAGTAAGTTTAAAATTAAAGGGTTGATAAGTTAAAACTTAAAACACTAATAAATCATTTGTTGGGTGCCTACTCTATTTTGATTTTCTGAGCAAGGAGAACAATCTAACATGGATCCTGATTCAGTGAAATCGACTCTTTCTGGCTTGGCTTTTGGGAATGTGTTGGCTGCCGCAGCTCGCGACTATCAAAAGGTCAGATGTTTCTTCATATATTGTCGTTTTTTCCCCAATTTTTGTGTTTTTCATATGAGATGAGAAGTGGATTTGGGTGCACTTTCTGTGGTGTTCATATTAATATCTGGCTGTTTGAAATTTATCCTGAAATTCTTTACTGGACGATGAAATTCACAAAATTAGTTTGATTGAAACTGAAATTCTCGAGTGTCAGCTAAAATAGCTTCTTTCACAACGCATTAACTCCTACGGAAAAGCAATAGCAAAAGGCAGAAACAGAGGTGACTCTGTACACAACCATGGACGACGATAGAATATCCAAACTGCCAATACCTATACTTCACCACATACTCTGTTCCCTCTCCCAGAAAGAAGTTGTCAGAATATGTCTACTCTCCAAACAATGGCGCCACATAGGATCGACCCGCCCCAACCTTGACTTCTCCGAAGAATGGTTCGACAACACCCAACAAAACTTTGTTCTCGTACTCGACTGAACCCTACAAGGATATAGTGATCAAAACCTCTCCATACACAAACTCCATCTCGACTTATCGAGGCCCGAACCAGTTGTCTCCCTTCTCGACAAATGGATCCCGATATTAGCCCTCAACATAAAAGTGTTCAAACTCAACTTTCTTTCATATACTCCAGCGTATTACGAACTGCCCTCGGCAGTCTTCTTAGCCGAGTCCCTCGAAGAACTACACCTACACCGATGCAAGGTGAGCCCGGTTGAGAGCGTGCGGTTTAAACATTTGCGCACGCTCACCCTCAAATGGGTCCTCATTAATGACGGGGCTTTGGAGAAGATAATGTTGGGCTGCCCTTTGCTCGGGCGGATGGACCTTATTAGTTGTCAGGGGTTAAGAAACATTAGACTGGTGGGCGAGGCAGCATCCCGTGGGCTCAAGCACTTGAAATTGTATAATTTGGAGAGGATCGAAGGTTGTAGCATCGGAATCGATGCCCCAAATCTCGAGACGGTCTGCATCGATGGCCCATGGATTTGGTCTCACCGCCAAAGTGCATTCTTGTTCTCTCGCCTCACGAGATTGCATCTCTATAGAGTGATGCTGTCGAGCGAGTAATTTGACTTGTTATCGTTCGGTTGCCCGACTCTTGAGATCCTATCCCTAAATAATTGCTCTGGTTTCGAGGAATTCCATCTTGCAAGTGATTCGGTCAAGTCGTTGACCATCTCGACAAGAAAAATATTGCTTAAAGGAGCTACGATTTGTGCCCCGAACATTCTCAATTTTACGTTCATTGCCCGTATTCCCCATGCTCTGGACACATTCTCTTTCACGACCACTACTTCAAAGGAGTGGTACTCACACGTAGATCTCTCTTCGTGTGAGGATGAT